TGTGAACGATATAGGTCATACATCCAAGCTTACAGCACCTGGTATTTCCAAGCGGTCACCCATCTAGGTACTGACCAGGCTCGACGTTGCTTAACTACGATGATCGTATGAGAACCGATCTTTTAACGTGATATTGCCGTATGACCTCAGCGAATACTAAAATGCAAAAATAAAATAGAAATTAGAAGGAAAGAATAAAATCCCGCAAAAGACTCAGAAATATATTGTGTCAAACAACAATAAAGGATATAGTAATAATAATAATAATAAAAAAGACTGCAAAGACGAATGCAACCGACCAGTTACAGAAGCGATGGCAAGATAAACCGCTTCATGGCCAATACTCTGCCCGTACCAAACAAGCTGACGTAGACAAAACCCGTACCCATCAGTGGCTACGTAGTGCAGGGTTGAAAGCGGAAACTGAAGGTTTTATCCTTGTTGCACAGGACCAATGCTTGTTAACTAGGAATTATCAAGCACATATACTAAAATATTGTGTCAGCCCAAAATGCAGATTCTGTGATAAATATCCAGAAACGATTGATCATCTTGTAGCAGGTTGTACGGTGTTGGCACCCACTGAATATAAAACCCGACATGACAGAGTGGGCCAATATCTGCATTGGAAAATCTGCAACTTCTACGGGAAGAAAACTGAAAGAAACTGGTATGAACACCACCCAGACCCGGTTACGGAGATAGGACCTGTTACAATTCTATGGGATTACACAATACACACTGACAGAACAATCAAAGCCAACCGCCCAGATATTGTTATTAAAGATCACAAACAAAAACGGTGCCTCCTTATTGACATGTCAGTCCCTGCCGACTGCAATGTATCTTTGAAGATATTCAAAAAGTTGTCAAAATACAAGGACCTTGAAATAGAAATCTCGAAAATGTGGCATATGGGAACATCAACAATCCCTGTTGTAGTTGGAGCCCTAGGACTGGTTGGAAAAGATTGCAGCAGACTAATTGAAGGGATTCCTGGAAATCCATGCCTCAAAGAGATACAAAAAATTGTTCTCACAAGTACAGCCCACACTTTACGAAATGCTTTATCTATGTAATTTTTTTGTTTTTTGTCAGTGAAAAGTGTCATGATGCCATTTCTAACCTTAGGTCCCTGGGCGGGACCCGGAAAGAAATGTGTAAACGCCAGAAATCAAAGAAAATAAAATAATAATAATAATAATGCGCGTGCGTATTGTGTTAAATACCGAGTTGAATTCACAAAACAGAATATCAGCCATAAACACTTCGGCTGTCTCTTTGGTGCAATAAATTTTCAGCATCCCTAACTGGAGCATAGATTACATTAAGCGAATGAATGCCAAAAACAAGAAAGTTTCTCACTAACTACTGCATGCTTCATCCTAAGGTTGATGCTGATCGTCTGTATGTGCTCAGATCTGAATGAGGCAGAGGATTAGTTCAACTAGAACTGTCTTACAAAACTGCAACATTCGGTCTTGGAAGATACCTGGAAACTACAGAAGATTGGATGATGATCTGTGTCAAAGAACATGAAAGAAATAAGAAATTTTATTCAGTAATAAAGGAAGCCAACATATTCAAAAAGGATTTGCAAGTTGCTGAAGAAGTGCACATAAACCATGATACACCTGCTTCAGAGGTAAAGAAGGTAAAAGAAAAAGCATATGCAATGTATCAAATGCAGAAACGATGGCAAGATAAGCCTCTTAATGGTCAATACTCTGTCCGTACATGACAGGGTGATGTAGACAAAGCCGGTACCCATCAGTAATTACATATTGCAGAGTTAAAAGTTGAAACTGAAGACCCAGTGCTTGCTAACTAGAAATTACCAAACACACATCAGTTAGTTATGTGCCACACGTGATACACGCTTAGGCGATCATGTATCTTTCGATACATGACTGACGAGGCAGATATCTCTCCGGTAGATTAGTATGCCATTTCTTTCTGCGGTAGACCAGTTGCCATCCAAGGCTATAGAACTCGGTCTGTCCTGCTATTTACCCATAGATAGTGGGAGAATAGGATTTATACCTTTCTCAAGGGTATTAGCACGTAAGTGAATGTAATGGATTCGACTGGAATCTCCGATTCCTGAATCCGAGCTGCTATCCATTATCCTACCAAGCACACATACTGTCTTAAAATTGTTATCTGAAATGCATATTTTATGATAAATATCCAAAAATACTTGACCATCTTGTATCAGGTTGCACAGTGTTAGAACCTACTGAATTTAAAACTCGGCAAGATAGAGTAAACCAATATTTGTAGTGGAAAATATGCAACTCTTATGGAAAGGAAACTTCAAGAAACAGGTATGAACCCCACCCGGACCCGGTTACGAAAATAGGACCCGTAACAATTTTATGGGATTTTACAATCCACAGAGACAGAACAATCAATGCTAATCGTACTGACATCGTGATTAGAGACTGCAAAGACAAAATGTGCCTCCTTATTGACATGTCGGTTCCTGTATCAAGTTGCACATGTGAGTAAAAACTGAATATAAAACTCGGCATGATAGAGTGGGCTAATATCTGCACTGGAAAATATGCAACTTTTACGGGAAGGGAACTGCATGAAACTGGTATGAACCTCACCCAGCCCCGTTTAAAGAGATAGGACCTGTAACAATTTTATGGGACTTCACAATACACACAGACAGAACAATCAAAATTAATGATATTCGTGATCAAAGACCACAAGAAGAGAATGTGCTTTCTTATTGACATATCAATTCCTGTAGATTGTAATGTATCTTTGAAGATCTTCAAATAACTATCAAAAAACAAGGATCATGAAGATAAAATCGCAAAAAAGTGGGGCAGATGAGGACATGATCAATTCCAATTGTAGTTTCAATTCTTTAACTGATTGGAAAAAAAAGATTCCTGGTATCAACGCCTTAAAGAATTACAAAAAAAAAAAAAATGTACTCACACATTACGAAAGGCTTTATCTATATAAAATATATGGGATCTTTTTTTTCTTTTTTTACTTTTTTGGAAAATGTCATGAGGACACTTTTGACCTTAGGTCTCTGGTTGGGACCCGGACGGAAATGTTTATTGCATAGAAATCCAAGGAAATAATAACAACAACAACAACAACAACTATTATTAGACATGATAGGCTAGGGCAATATATTCATTGGCTCGACTTACGACTTCCTTTTCTTTCTCTTCTTCCCCTTTTAAATTCTTTGTTATTTCTTATTTGTTTGATCTTATATATAACTTCAATAAAACGGCAACATAAAACATACATATCACTGCTTATAGTAATTATGTTTACACAAACATGTATATACACAAAAGATTTATATCGTCTACCATGAATTCAATTGTGAAACAGTGTAAATTTATTATTTCAAAGTTTACAGGAAAGTTAAACGTCGGCATAAAATGACCCATAAAGAGTTGATATGCCGTTAAACAAACAAATGAAATAAAATCTACTAGACTCGTTCGCTACCGACAAATTCGCTACCTACAATCAAAGCTTCATTTGGGTGTGATATCGGTAGAAACAGGTCCAATTTCCATTAGATTGAAAAAGGGAGAACACAGGTCCAATTTCCATTAGATTAAACAAAGGTAGACACAGGCCCAGTTGCAATTAGATGAAAAAGGTAGAAACAAGTCCAATTTCCATTAGATTGAAAAAGGGAGACACAGGTCCAATTTCCATTAGATTAAACAAAGGTAGACACAGGCCCAGTTGCAATTAGATGAAAAAGGTAGAAACAAGTCCAATTTCCATTAGATTGAAAAAGGGACACACAGGTCTAGTTTCCATTAGATTAAATAAAGGTGTCATTTAATGCCGAAATTTTATATTCGTTTGAAGTAATAAAAAATATATGTTATTCTGCTTTCGCAATTGAATACATGATAGATTACACCAATCTCTTTGAACAGAAGAGCTGGAGGAAAATACTGAGACTTGCTAGGTCCAGGGGAACAGCTGCCCACAGTGGTACCCTGTCATTGTACTAGAGAGGTGATCGGAAGTAATATTGAAGTCAATGCAACCGACGGTTGCAGGGGCTGGGCAATTTCTGCTCTTGCGCAACATTAAACACGATTTTGTGTCACATCCCATCGTCGTGGGGAGATGGATAAATATCTACATCATAGATAATACTCAGCTTTAATGCATAAACATGATTACTAGAATCGGCAATCTGTCTGTTTTATACTGTCGTCTTGTTGAAGTTATATTTTGTGAATACCGTTTGAATTAAGAAATTGTAGGACATTATATGGACTAATCTCATGAAAAAGTTGTTTCATGTTGTTTGGTTGATTTTGTTTAGCGACATATCAACATCTCTATGGGTTATTGTTATGGGGAATCACACCTATTCTATAGTTAATAGACTCTTCCACCGAATATAAGTAGTAGTAGTAAGAGCAGTCAGTAGGTCAGTCAGTCAGTCAGTCGATGTCGGACGACAGTTAGTCGAATACGAAAGTATCAGCGACCACAACAAGATTACTCTGCGTCATACCTATTATATCAAGTTCCTAACGTTTTGCACGTCGAACCTATTTTAGGACCGACTTAGTACAAATACAAGCCTCCACTGCGAAATAACCCCACAACAGTTATTTAATACCGAAATCTCTACATTTTTTACGTATTTTAGGCTTTCAACTACAGATATTTTCTACATAATTTTATACTTTCGGAGTAAAGTTATGTTTTTTTGTTTTTTTTTTTTTGGCCGTTAATAATTAAGTATAACTCAAGACTTCGATGTTAAGATAAAACAGTATTTAATTACAACCGCAAATAAATACTTAACAAGAACAAAGAAATAAAAGTCAACCAAAGATAACCATTTCAGTGAATACATTGTTAGTAGCGTGGTTTGGCTTAAAGTCTGGTAAATCCTCAATCAAAACCCAAATCATCGATGCACAATAATTCACACTAATTCGACTGGATAGTTCCACTCAATAGCCACCCCAGTCAGTATC